GAAGCGGAGCGGAGCGGAGCGAAAGAATCTGTCCAAACCGGGAAGTTACGTTATATGGGTTGGGGCTATACGGTACAGGGGTAATTTGGGAATTACATATTGTACTGTAGGGCTTACTCTAGGATTATAAATAGACCTGCTTGTAATCCTAGGTCTTTGAGAGAGTTGGATCCTCTATTTTGTAACATCTTTTCTGAATATTGAAAGGAATACGCCGCTCTGCTCCCGAGGATGTAGGCATCTTTGCCGAACCTCGTTAAATCTCTGTGTTCTTCTGGATTTGTGTCGATTACTGTTTTTCTTCGCCCTAATTTTCTCAACACTATCAATCACCGATGAGTTTCAATTTTACTCCAAGATATTTTTTCGATATTGATGTATGCTACATGTTCAATATTTAGTTTGTTTATTTTTTTAATTGATGGATTTGATTTTGATAGGCGACCTTTTTAGCATGACTTGTGTTCGGGTTTGGGCTGGGGATTATATCCCTTGGAAACCTCAAGATTTGATTTAATAAATTTTTTTGCTTTATATCGATTCAAATGGATAGAGATGGGGCTTACATTCATAGGAAGGCCTATTCCTCTAGCTTCTTGAGACTAGTTGCTCTATTTGCAATAAGTCAAGGCTTATAGTATTGGCTTTTGGCTTGTCCGCAGGTGGGACTTATGACTCAAATATTGGAATCGACGTAATAGTTGGTCTTATAACCTCAACATATTAGCAAGGCAGCCCATATAACGCAGTTTTCAATCTCATCCTACAGGCAAGATGACTAGCTGATTTTTAAGATGGAATGATTTGAGCTTTTAAACTGTGGATTTTTCGAAGTAGGTTTTGATTACACTTTTTTTACTTTTAGTAGGCAAAACACACATTAAAAGGAAATATAATGCATTATTATTATTATTATTATTATTATTATTATTATTATTATTATATTTTTTTCTTTCTTAAAGTATCGTTAAGAGAATGATGTGGTTGCCAAGGACATCACCCCATGGTTTTGTGGTTCTTGTTTTAGTAAGGTAACAAGGCATGCATTTGTAGATGCCCTAATGGAGCATAGTTCAATTTACACCTTAGTAAAGGCTACAAGGCTCACCCTGACGTACTGCAGCTCAATTATCTTTCAAGAGATGCTCCTAGTTTTATTCAATTAAAAGGAAAACATTTCAACTATAGTAGAGGGAAGCTCTTTGTGATAACTAGGGGGAAATAATAACAATTACATTTTCTCGTCCACCACCAACCAATGTTTTCACGTCAGGTGATTGCATTATCTTTCGTTCACTGATACAAGAAAAGTGACATTTATATTTTCATTTTTAACTTTGTACACTTTGCAACTGTGTTAATTTATCCCATTTTTTAAAGTTTAGTGGATATTTATCATTATGCAACTGTGGATGTATCATCGCATCACATAAATTAATGTTTTGTAATTGTGAATTTTGGTTTTTTCCCTCATGTTTTCACTTTATTTCATCTTTATTACTATCCTTGTAGCGGTTAGGTTCATGATGGTGGTTGCCATGGGCTGTGCACTTTGACTAGGCATTAGGCAATCCAATCAGCAAAAACAAGGAGGCAAATATAGATCGGAGATTTGAGGTGTCAGTTATGTTTGATCTTTGTTCCCCTTGAGTCATACACCATCAGAATATGATTTTATCCTCTTTGCGGCTCTCTTTATATGCACTTATATTGTGTGAGATAGTTTAGGATTTTTAGGTAGTGTAGGTGGTTGGGGGCACTTTTAAATGTTTACTTTCACTGTAGG